AAAAACTCTTAAAACTACATTCCGTGACACAAAAACAGTATTATTTATAAATTTTAGTGGATTTGGGTGTCCGCCATGACACTCGCTGTGAGAAATACTGGAAGCGGAGTGATACAAACGGTGAAAGGGCGTTCCTGTGGCGATACCAGTACAATATCTCACGGTTCTCAACCAATCAGATTTGAGAACCAGAACGAACTGTTGTATAAATATATATATAGATAACAAATAAAAGGTCCATTTAAATAATGTTTTATGTTGTAATTCTTGGCATGAAACAGTAGATCTGTTTTATTTTTGTTTACTTTATAACCCAAACATCACAGTCATATTCCAGACAGATGGATCCGTCAGACTTCGTGAACTCCAGCGAGACGCGGTTAGCCGTCTCTCGAATCATCACGTGGACCACAGAACCGAAGAGTTCGGACGTCAGGAAGGTCAGTGTGTTTTTCCTCATGTCGAGGCTCCGGCTGTAGTTCAGACGCTTCATATCTGGTTGAATGAGGAGGCGGCGGGCCGGAGCTCCACTGTGGCCTCCCTGCCGGGGGAAAGTAACCTGGAGGAGAGATGTAAGCAGGTAGTGACCCCCGACCCTTGACCTTTGACCTCCTGATTGCCTGTGGAGGTCAGGGCGGGCTTGTCTAACACTGCTGCTGTCTGACCCGCCGGTGGAGGGTTTTGCTCTGATGGTTGATGATGTTTCAGCACTCTTTTCTGTGCCACTAACACCTTTATCTGAAGCACTTGAATGACCTTTGACCTTCGGCTGTGCAGATGATGTATTTATTTTTGCATGAATGAAAATGGGGCTGAGGACAGACGTTTATAGTTATATATAAAATTAATGAAAAATATCTTTAATAGTTTTACAAGTTTTCTATCTACCTATCTATCTATCTATTAGAAATGTTGTCTTGGCAACTAACTGAAATAAGTTTACGTTGAAGCGCTACAATTACTAAATCTAAATAAATAAAAATAAATTAAACCTAAATTAAAATTAAATAAAAAAAGCAAAAACCTTATAAAAATCACACAAAAATCAATAAAATAAATTTTATTAAATTATATATATAATTATAATTATACTTTTAAATAATTATACTTTCATTACTAAAAAATATAATAGAATGAAAATATACAAATAAAAGCTGTAATAAAAACTATAATAGTATATATATAACACTAAAATAATGATAACAAAATTGCTAAAAATTAAACTGCAAATAAGTAAAAAATAAATTAAATCCAAATAGTGTTATTTAAAAAGCAAAAACTAATACAAATGACATGACAAAATTACAGAAATAGCAACTAGAAATAAATAAAAATTAATTAAACCTAAATAGTATTGTTTTAAAAACAAACACTAATAAATACTAATACAAATTACATAACAAAATTAATACACTTTAAACTGTAAATAAATAAAAATGAATGAAACATAAAAAGTATTACTTAAAAAACAAAAACTAACAAAAATTACTAAACATTAAACTAAAATTTAAATTAAAACTGAAAATAAAATTTTGAATTCAAAACTAATAAAATAAAAGCTAATTAAAAATATTAATAAAAACTATAATAGTATATAAATAATACTAAGATAGCACTGATTCAGTTTACCTTGATTCTGATCATTCAAATGACAAAACATTGAAAACGCTTTCTTTCCAAAGATTTGCAGTGGACAAAAAACAGTGGAGATGCAACCTATGACCTTACGATCTGAAGATTTGTCCCTCACAGTCTTTATGCGTTCACTTCAGATTCAACATGACGTCTACCCCTCACTAAGACCCATTGGGATGCATATCAAACTCGTATGTTATTGCAAGACTTTGAGATGTTTTTATTTGTACCTAATCAGGCACAATGTGAGTGTTTGAGGGTTTAGTCATTTTTCCTTTCTCACATCTCGTCTCATCAGTGTTTTTGTGCTGGTTGTGTGTTTTCCAGGCTGCTCAGATGGTTTTGATCGCCCTGTTTGAGCTGAACACCCCAGAGTTCACCATGCTGTTAGGCGCTCTGCCCAAAACCTTCCAGGACGGAGCCACTAAACTCCTGCACAACCATCTGAAGAGCAGCAGTAGCGTGGCTGCTGCAGTGGTACTCACACGCTGATCTTACTCTCCGTCACTGAATGTTACGGTGTGCCACTCGCTGATACGTCTGTGTCATTTGTTAAGTCTCAGGCATCTCCCAGCAGCAGCAGCAGTTTGGGACGCACCCCTCCACGACACCCCGTGACCCGCAGCAGTCCCCTGACCTCACCCACCAACGGCTCACACGCAGGACTGTCTCCCAGGTACCTCAAAACAACCAGAAACACACAAAATACATCAACCGTCTGTGAAGCTGTGGGACATCATCAGGACTACATGGAATCTGAGACCACAGAAATAAGAAGAAAAACGCTTTAGAATGATCTACTCATCACCGAAAATATTTATTTAAATATATATATAAAAAAATAATATTTTAGTGTATTTATTTTTACAGAATTAGCGTATTAATTTACTAAATTTTCTTTGTCAACTTATTCTACTAACCCTAAACCTACCCTAACAGTCTACTCTGAGAGTTAGTAGACATCTAGTTGCAAATTAATGAGAATTAGTTGACATGTAGTTGACATGTAGTTACAAAGTTACTTATAGTTAATAGAATGTCTAAAGTGGACTATCGAAATAAAGTGTAACCTAAAAAATAAATATTTAATATTAAGAATATAATATTCTCACCTACATTTTGGTGTTATTTTTTATTAATATTTTGAAAATATGTTTTCATTTTAATTTTAGTTAAAGTTTTAGTAATTTTGCTGTATTTTTGTCATTTTTATTAGTTTTTGTTTTTAAATATATCTAATATTCTCACCTACATTTTGGTGTTATTTTTTATTATTATTTTGAGTATTTTTATGTATATTGTTTTCATTTTTAATTTTAGTTAAAGTTTTAGTAATTTTGCTGTTTTTGTCATTTTTATTAGCTTTTGTTTTTAAATATATCTATATAGTATTTGTTAATTTGATTTATTAGTTTTAGAACTAGTTTTTAAACTAAGCTTAAAGTTTAACTTTAGCTTAAAGTAAAAGAGAATGAAATAAAATGTTAACTTTTTTTCCGTTCACTTTTATTTAATTTAAAGTAACAAAATTATTTTTTATGGTTTTAATTTTAGTTTTAGAGTTTTAGTTAACAGTCATAACCCTGCTACACATCACCATATATATATATAAATATAATTAAAAAAATATATTAATAATTTACTAAAATAAAAAATAAAATTTTATATTAAGAATATTATTATTAATTATATTTTCAGCTGCATTTAACACATTTTATCATGTTTAATTTAATGTAATTACAACATTAATGTAAATACATCACAAATTGACACGGAAAATGCAGATTCCATCTGGTTCTGGCCGTAACTCTAATCACAGGCTTTCTCACTGTCTTTTGCTCCAAAAGACAAACATTTGCTCTAGTGATTCTGTCCTCCTCAGTAACCCATCTCTGAACATGCTTTTACACGCTTTAGTTTAATTACCAAAATGAATGAACAGTCAACATGGCATGTTTGTTTGTCATTTCTGCATGAACTAACAAACAGCTTTTGCACTAAATGCACATCATAAAATATAACATTAAATCCATGTTATATTACTAATATTGCTCTGTTTTGCATCTTATGTTGCAGATTGTAAATATCTCTGTTTTTGGTGTGACGCGATAATTTTTGTTCTGACCAGCCGTGATAAGCATTATTTTGTCAGTTGTTTAGTTTCTGTTTTTTCTAGTTTTTCCTCTTTTTTCTTTGTTATTGAAAGAAAAATGTAATTTAACTGTTGTTGTTAAATAATAACATTTTGTGCTTTTTTTGGCTGAAATGAGCAACAACAGTGACTGTAATTCCTTCAACAACTCAGACGTGTGAAGGGTGTTTATTTGTTACTTCTTTTAATAATTATTCTTTAACTTTTATATGTTTTAATGCTGCAAAAATGCTGCCTGAAGTGACAAAATCTCAACCATTCAGAATCAGTGTTATTTTAGTATCATTGATATACTGTAATTTTTGTTAATATTTTGGATTAAGTTTTATTTTTAGATTATCTGTTTTGATTTTAATTTTAGGTAAAGTTTGAGTGATTTTGTTGTGTGTTTTTGTCATTTTTATTGTTTTTTTTTATATGTCTGTATAATTGTTATTAAAGTTATAGTATTAGTTATTTTAGTTCTTCAACTTGAACTAAATGAAAATAAGAAATTTTGCCATGGCAACTAGCTGAAATATTTTATTTTAGTTCATGTTTATTTAATGTCAAGTAATGATTTTTTATGGTTTTAGTTTTTTTAACGATAATAACATTTACTGTTTAATATACAAGCTTGTGGACCAATCAGGTTTCATTGTGGGCGGAGTTTCCCAGCACTATGCATAAAAACAGAAGCAAAACTCACTTAAACTTGCAAGACGTGATGTATTGTTTGATGGCGTCGTGTTTGGTCAGGATATGGTAGTTTGAGAACAAGCGTCCTTCACTGTTTCCTCTTTTTTTCCTCCTCTTGGTTTCTACACCTCCCTGCTCTCTCTTCATCCTCCTCTTCCTCTCGGCTCAGTCGTTTGTGGGGCTGGAGCTCAAAGCCTTCTTCTAACCTCCCTCCTCCCCACCCCAGCCCCGCCACCCCACCTCTCCGGGCCTATCGGAGGGCGTATTCGCCCAGGTAACACACCTCGGCCCGGGCGTTAGGATGCTAACTAGGGATGCACGATATTATCGGACCGATATCGGAATCGGCCGATAATGGCTTTTAATGTACATATCGGCATCGGCCCGATATGAAAAATTTTGCCGATATGTCTTGCCGATAAGAGGAATACGTTAACTCACATGTGCTCAGGGTGTATTAGCGGTTATATCATGTCAGCAGTACCGCTGCTCCTTATACGCAGAGTACGCAGTTTGCGTAGGGCACCAACTCCCAGGGGGGCACCATCCCAGAACGCTCAAAAAAAACAACTTTTGTTCTATGTTAATATGAACATGTACATATACGTAAATAAAAATATAAACATTAACATATATACATAATTATAAAAAATGCGTTTGATGGTGAATGCAGTAGACAGGCGAAGCACATGTGACGCGCCATTCCCGCATCCGTGCCCGCCTCATGTTTGCGGCTAACTGCAAATGATCATAACTGATGGACAACTTTCAGATAATATTTTTGTGGTAATAAAAACAGACCTAAGCGAACAACAACCTTTAAAATGACATAAAATGCATTATATAAAAACAATGAGGCAATAATGATTGGTTAATTAATAATAATCGTATGGTTTCATTGAATAACACTGTTAAAATGCATAATGTAATACAAAATAAACGATTTATGTACATTAGCCTACATATTGTTACAAATGCCTGCAAAATGCGCCAAAGGCCTGGTAATTGCTGTTGTAACACTTACAGGAAAATCAAATCCTTTTAATATTGACCAAATATTTAATTCAAATATCCACTTAATCTTTAATGTTTGGCCAGAACGTCTCGGTTACGTATGTAACCCTCGTTCCCTGAAGGAGGGAACGGAGACGTCACGTCCCGTCGCCACAGCTCCTGTACCACCGCTGAGCGGCCGGGTCACCGGCTTGGCTCCTCAGCGAAAACCTGAATATGCGTTGCATCTGCTGCCTACTTATACTCACGCTGTGATCAGCAGCAGCTGGATGCAATAATCGCATGCCAATGTGCATTGGCTCGTTTAGTACTCACTCGAAGTAGATTGGTCCCTCTAAGCGAGATCCCAATTCGTCGGTCATCCGACGTGACGTCTCCGTTCCCTCCTTCAGGGAACGAGGGTTACATACGTAACCGAGACGTTTTCTCCTGCACTTCAGCAGCACTTACATACACCAGAATTTACAGTTTTATTCCTGTTTACATTCTGAAGGTTTTTACTGAGGGGTTTGTTCATGTATCATTCACCTGAGTTTATTATCGCATTTTTATATATTTGAATCTGTAGATTTCAATTACAATACATATCTTTAAAAAGTTTTATCCATCACTTCAGCTGCACTTACATACTCCAAAATTTACAGTTTTATTCCTATCTATATTCTGAAGGTTTTTACTGAGGGGATTGCGCATATATCATTCACATAGTTTTATTATTGCATTTTTATTTACTTGCATCTGTAGATTTCAATTGCAATACTTATCTTTAAAAGTTTTATCCATCACTTCAGCTGCACTTACATACTCCAAAATTTACAGTTTTATTCCTCTCTATATTCTGAAGGTTTTTACTGAGAGGTTTGTTCATATATCATTCAGACTTATTTCTAAAACATTTTCTTCCTAAAAACATGGTGACAATGCATATGTTTAAAGGCTGTGAGTTTTTTCTCCATCTCAGCAGCACTTACATACACCAGACTTAACAGTTTTATTCCTCTCTATATTCTGAAGGTTTTTACTGAGGGGTTTGTTAATATGTCATTCACCTGGTTTTATACAACATTTTATTCATAATAAAAATTTGGTGAAAATGTATTTTTTTCTGTTTATTGACAGTATTTTCTGATTTATGGAGTCATAAAAAGAGAAATCTAAAATCTCCTCTGTAAAAATCTAAAAATGAACCTGGCTTTATCCAATGTTCTGGAAATGTATGCAAATTAGTACAAATTTAATTAGATAATGCCTTATTTGCATATTTAAACATTTCAGAAAATTTGTAATGCACAACTGTCTTAATGTACTGTGAATAATCTTCTTATTTTTTTACACTGTTGACCTGTAGTGTATTGCCTGGAGAGAGTTTTAAAAATCCTAAAAATTTTAGCAAATGTGCAAACCTTATATTTTGGTCAAACTGCACTCTCTTTATATTTGTCCCAGCTTGAGAGTCTGTGTCCCACATTTCTATTACTTTTGTGACGTCCTTCTTTCTCTCATCCATCTGATTTCTTTTGTTCCCGCCGCTTTTTGCTTCATGGCAAATGCAGATGTTTGTTGTGCGTTAATCTGTCTGTATGAAATGTTTAAGATGTGTCACTTTGACTTTGCAGCTGAGCAGTAAATGCATTCATCACATCTGTGTGTTGTCTGTCTGCCTTGTGTTGTGTGTTAAAGTCATAATCGCATGCCAATGTGCATTGGCTCGTTTAGTTTACACTCGAAGTAGATTGGTCCCTCTAAGCGAGATCCCAATTCGTCGGTCATCCGACGTGACGTCTCCGTTCCCTCCTTCAGGGAACGAGGGTTACATACGTAACCGAGACGTTTTCTCCTGCACTTCAGCAGCACTTACATACACCAGAATTTACAGTTTTATTCCTGTTTACATTCTGAAGGTTTTTACTGAGGGGTTTGTTCATGTATCATTCACCTGAGTTTATTATCGCATTTTTATATATTTGAATCTGTAGATTTCAATTACAATACATATCTTTAAAAAGTTTTATCCATCACTTCAGCTGCACTTACATACTCCAAAATTTACAGTTTTATTCCTATCTATATTCTGAAGGTTTTTACTGAGGGGATTGCGCATATATCATTCACATAGTTTTATTATTGCATTTTTATTTACTTGCATCTGTAGATTTCAATTGCAATACTTATCTTTAAAAGTTTTATCCATCACTTCAGCTGCACTTACATACTCCAAAATTTACAGTTTTATTCCTCTCTATATTCTGAAGGTTTTTACTGAGAGGTTTGTTCATATATCATTCAGACTTATTTCTAAAACATTTTCTTCCTAAAAACATGGTGACAATGCATATGTTTAAAGGCTGTGAGTTTTTTCTCCATCTCAGCAGCACTTACATACACCAGACTTAACAGTTTTATTCCTCTCTATATTCTGAAGGTTTTTACTGAGGGGTTTGTTAATATGTCATTCACCTGGTTTTATACAACATTTTATTCATAATAAAAATTTGGTGAAAATTAATTTTTTTCTGTTTATTGACAGTATTTTCTGATTTATGGAGTCATAAAAAGAGAAATCCAAAATCTCCTCTGTAAAAATCTAAAAATGAACCTGGCTTTATCCAATGTTCTGGAAATGTATGCAAATTAGTACAAATTTAATTAGATAATGCCTTATTTGCATATTTAAACATTTCAGAAAATTTGTAATGCACAACTGTCTTAATGTACTGTGAATAATCTTCTTATTTTTTTACACTGTTGACCTGTAGTGTATTGCCTGGAGAGAGTTTTAAAAATCCTAAAAATTTTAGCAAATGTGCAAACCTTATATTTTGGTCAAACTGCACTCTCTTTATATTTGTCCCAGCTTGAGAGTCTGTGTCCCACATTTCTATTACTTTTGTGACGTCCTTCTTTCTCTCATCCATCTGATTTCTTTTGTTCCCGCCGCTTTTTGCTTCATGGCAAATGCAGATGTTTGTTGTGCGTTAATCTGTCTGTATGAAATGTTTAAGATGTGTCACTTTGACTTTGCAGCTGAGCAGTAAATGCATTCATCACATCTGTGTGTTGTCTGTCTGCCTTGTGTTGTGTGTTAAAGTCAATGCATATGGAGTCAGGCCTCACTGTGTGTGTGTGTGTGTGTGCAGTATGCTGGAGTGCGACACTGAGAACATGAACTCAGAGGAGATCTTCAGCTCATTGAGAGGTGTAACCGAAGCCATCCAGAGCTTCAGTTTCCGCAGTCAGGAAGACATGCTCGAGCCCATCAAACGTGACGGCAAGAGGGAAGATACGGTGAGTACCTCCACCTGCAAGACTGTCTTCAAGATGCTGATCCAGCGTGAGAGTACTTGACCTAAACTGACCAAAGATCAAGAAGGTCTGCATGAAAAATATGCAGACCTTCTTCTATATGAAATAGAAGATTGAGGCCTCAAAATACTAAACATTAAAGTCCGTGTAAAGCAATATTAAATATGTGTTCTGAGTTTGTCACACCACAGAAAAATGTGTTATTAACCACCCAGCCAAATTTGAATGATAAAAAAAATGCCAAGTAAATACAATAAGCTATCAAAATCAGCGAACCACTGATGCTAATGCGCTCAAGTAAGATTCATGTATATTTCTATTAGATTATTAATTAAGATTAATATTCTTTTTTCAAAAATTAACACTTTTATTCAGCAAGGGTGCATCACATTGATCACAAGTGACAGTAAAGACGTTTATAGTGTTATAAAAGATTTCGGTTTCAAATAAATGCTGTTCTTTTGAACTTTCTATTCATCTGTGAATCCTGAAAAAATAAAATGCATCACGGTTTCCACAAAAATATTGTGCAGCACAACTGTTTTCAACATTGATAATAATCAGAAATGTTTTTTGAGCAGCAAATCAGCATATTAGAATGATTTCTGAAGGATCATGTGACACTGTGAAGACTGGAGTAATGATGCTGAAAATACAGCTTTGATCACAGAAATAAATTACATTTTATTATATATTCACATAGAAAACAGCTATTCTAAATTGAAATAATATTTCACATTTTTACTGTATTTTTGATCAAATAAATGCAGCCCTGCTGACTTTCTGCCCTCAAACTGATTAATCTTATATAACCAGAATGGATATGAATGATGTTGCAATGGAGTGTAGTACTTTTTCTGATGAATAGATGGTATTTTCACCAGGTTGAAGCTAAATTAGCTGGTTTCTCTTTCAGACCGGAGGTTCAGATCCTCGTCTGTCCGCTGGTGTGATGGAGGGAGGCCGGACAGTGCTGGACAACAAGACGTCATTATTAAACACACCATCTCCTCGATCGTGGGCTCGCGAATACAACCCATACAACTACAGTGACTCCATCAGCGCCTACGAGAAAGGAGCTCTTGCCGTGTTTGACGACGTGGAGCACATACGAGATGGTAAATGAATAAACACATCAACGGAAGAATCACTTTATCAAGTTCACAGAAACAGGCCAGCGTCTTTGGGTTTCTCTTTCAGATCATCCACAGGACTGCGGAGAAAACAAAATCATGCATTCGAAAGGTTTTTCTGCAGGTATGAGGTTTTAAACTGTTTGAAGAGAGCAAAAGTCAACTTCTGTAAATAAACATCTCCATAGATAAGTGTTATTTCAGCATCACTGATATACTATTATAGAGTTTGTTAATATTTTGAAGTACATTTTCTTTTTTAATTTTTGTTTAATTTGTAGTAATTTTGTGTTTTAAATATTACTATTTAGGTTATATTTATTTATTATTTTTTGTTTGCATTTTAATTTTAGTTTAGTATTTTTATTAATTTTGTTGTGCTGTTTTTATGAGTATTTTTGTTTTAAATATTACTATTTAGGTTATATTTATTTATTATTTTCTGTTTTCATTTTAGTTTAAAGTTTAGCATTTTTGTCATGTTATATTTCTTAGTTTTTTTGGTTTGTTTTAAATATTACTATTTAAGTTTTTATTTATTTATTATTTTGTGTTTGCATTTTAATTTTTTATTAATTTTGATGTGGTGTTTTCATTAGTTTTTATGTTTTAAATATTGGTATTTAGGTTTAATTAATCCATTTATTTATTTAGTATTTTCTGTTTTCATTTTAGTTTAAAGTTTAGTATTTTTGTCATGTTATTTTATGAATTTTTGTGTTTTAAATATTACTATGTAGGTTTAATTTATTTTATGTATTCATTATTTTCTGTTTTCATTTTAGTTAAATTCTTAGTCATTTTGCTGTGTTTTTATCGTTTTTTTAATGCCTATATAGTATTTATTATTTATTTAGTGTCAGTTATTTTAGTACTTCAAGTTAAACTAAACAAAAATGAGAAATGTCGAAAGCTGAAATAAAATAAGTGTACTTTTTTTTTTTTTTTTTTTTAAATATACTTTATTTTATTATTATTATTATTATTTTAATGGTTTTAGTTTTAGTTTAGCGATAGGGTTAAAAACCCTGCCAATGATAATGTATGAACATTTCAAAACAGTTCAGATTTAGTTCAGGCTTTAAAACGTATTATTGACGATTTTCTATAAATACTTTTTTTTTAGTGATTTGTTAAAGTATAAGGCTGCTGTAAAAGCTGATGGTCACTAAATAGTTAAAGCCTTTTCTGAATGTAATGATTCCATTATGCTTCAGTGATTGATACAGATGCATAAATGTTCAGAATGTTGCTGTCTCTGATTGGTCAGGACCCAGGCAGCACCTGGAGATGATTGGTGAGCTGCTGAAGGAGCTGTCCAATCACAGCGAGCGTGTGGAGGAGAGGCGGGCCGCTCTGCTGGAGCTGCTGAAGGTCACGCGTGACGACAGTCTGGCTGTGTGGGAGGAGCATTTCAAAACAATGCTGCTGCTGCTGCTGGAGACGCTGGGAGACAGAGACGTGAGAGACACACTTGACTTCATCACACACTCACATAGAAATTATGCTAATAGTCAGAAATCTAACAGCACAGATGCAGCTAAAGAACGTGATGATGGTTGTGTCCGCAGCACACTATCCGAGCGCTGGCGCTGCGTGTCCTGAAGGAGATCATGCGCAGCCAACCGGCGCGCTTCAAGAACTATGCAGAACTCACCATCATGAAAACCCTGGAGGCTCATAAAGACTGTCACAAAGAGGTGAGCCAGACTCTCTCTCTAAAACAGCACTTCTGCACCAGAGGGCCTCAAAATAAGACAAAACAAGCATTACAATGACTACAAGTCAAGATATTTCTTGTTTTAATTCTCCCCCTCAGTAACTGTTTTTGTCTATAACTGTTTTTGGAGGGCTGGGTAAAAAAATATCGATATCTCGATATTAATCGATTCTCATTTTTACGGAACGATATCGATTCTTAAATCCCGAGAATCGATTAGTCTAGCCTGTGTTCAGTGAATGGACGGAATGTTGCCTTTAACGGAACGTCCCATCCAATATATAGCAATAAGCATTGTGCTTTGGTACTTTTAATATGAAACAAAGTCTCAGATTTCAAATTCTGTCCATTGTATTGCAGTATTCAAACAATAAGAAAGAGTACAACTTTACAATCCGTATCCTGTCTCATGTAATCGCTCAATTAGTGTTTCAGCTGTGCAAAGACGTCAATATAACGGCTTGTAAACAAAGTCACGGAACGTCACATTTACCTCAGAAAAAACATATTCGGTGACCATAAACTCATTAGTCAGATAGAAAAATAAACTGTAGAGAGGGGCATTTTGCTAAATATATGCACCATATAACATATTCATTATAAATTTTACTGTTCTTCAATGTTTAATTTATGTTTGAATAAATCCAAGTTTTTATGACAGCCACCATTATGTTTATATTTAAAAAAACAAATTGAAATAGAAATATTATGTAATTTTAAAATTAAAAAATTACATAAATAAAATTTAAAATTTGTAACTTTATTATTTTAAGTGAAATTTTAACAAATCAGTCAATTTAAATTTAAATTTAAATTTTAAAATTTAAAATTTTTAATTTGAACTGATATATATCCAAAATAATCGATATCGAATCGAATCGAATCGAATCGCAAGCTTGTGAATGAGAATCGAATCGTGAAATTTGTGTCAAAACCCAGCCCTATGTTTTTGAACCAGGATTCCCATATATGAAATATGAGGAAGCCTATTATAGTTAACAGATTAAACAGAAATAAAATTAATATATATATATTTTTTATTTCAGCTAACTGCCAAGTCATTTAATTTCTCATTTTTGTAAGTTTAAATACTAAATAAACTAAAACTAAAAACTACATTTGAAAAGAGCAAATATGAGTAAGAATGACAAAAACACAATTAAAATTACTTAAAATTTAACTAAAATTAAACTGAAAAATAAAACCTAATTCAAAAATTAACAAACCTATAATAATATATCAAAAACAATTGACAAAATCTATAATAGTTCACTGGATAAAAAGAATGGGAAACCTGAAGATTATTCTGCTCTTACCTGAAATTTAATTGTTTTCATTTTAATTATTTTACTAATGTTAATAAATGGCAGTGTTATTTTAGTATCATTGACTAGTTTTGAATACCAGTTTGAATAATGTTTTATTTTTATTTTCATTATTTTAATTTTAAAGTTTTAGTCATTTTGTTGTGTGTTTTGTCATTTTTTTATTAGTTTTTTTTTATATGTCTGTATAATTTTTATTTCAGTTTTAATTTCTGCTATTTTAGTATATAAACTTAAACTAAATCAAAACGAGAAATGTTGCTTTGGCAAATTGCTGAAATAAAAGAATTTTTATATTTTATTATATTTTTATTTTATTTTATTTATATTTTAGTGTATTATTATTATTTGAAGTAATTAATTAAAAAAATTTTTTAGTGATTTTATTTTTTGTTAACTATAATAACCCTGATATTTTCTATAAATAATAGATTTGAAAACAAAAATTTTTATTTATGGAAACACAAGTCTACATGGGGTCCTTGAAATATTGCTGTGGACAGTGCGGGGCCTTCAAGTCAAAATAGTTGAGAAGCGCTGCTCTAAAATCCATCATTTTATTGCGTGCAGAGGAAGTAGCCTCTCTTCTGTGCTGTTTGTCTGACGGTCGTGTCTCGTGTCTCCACAGGTGGTGCGGGCCGCAGAAGAAACAGCGTATTATTAGAATTAAGAAAATTTGTTTTCTATGTGAATATCTGTTAGAATATAATTTATTTCTGTGATGCAGCGCTACATTTTCAGCATTATTACTCCAGTCTTCAGTGTCACATGATTCTTCAGAAATCATTCTAATATGCTGATTTGCTGCTCAAGAAACATTTCTGATTATTATTTATCAATGTTGAAAACTGCCCAATATTTTTGTGGAAACCGTGATACATTGAATTTTTCCGGATTCACAGATTAATTGAAAGTTCAAAATAACAGCATTTATTTAAAAATAGAAATCTTTTGTAACATTATTAATGTTTTTACTGCCACTTTTGATCAATTTAATGCATCCTTGATGAATAAAAGCATTAATTTCTTTCAAAATATAAAAATTTCTTACTGACTTTAAACTTTTAATGGTAGTGTATATGTGATGTTGCCTTTTTTTAACCTAAAAATGAGATCTCTTAGAAGGCAGCATAATGTTCCAGTGTTATTTTAGTATTATTAATATACTATAAAAGTTTTGTGAATGTTTTGAATGGATTTTATTTTTATATTTTCTGTTTTTATTTTTATTTTAGTATTTTTGTTGTGGTTTTTGTATATGTCTGTATAGTTTTTATTACATTTTAGTATAGTTTATTTAGTTTTAGTTATTTTAGTAATTCAACTTAAACTAAACAAAAATGAGAAATGTTGGCTTGGCAAGTTTAAGTTGATTTAATTTCAGTTTATTTTATTTCAAGTAATGAAAACTCTTTTTATGGTTTTAGTTAAGGATAACAACCCTGTAATGTTTCTCGATTTTAGTTTTGTGAGAGTTTTCAGCAGTGCTCCTGCGATCTCTTATAATGCTGTGTGCTTGTTTTCTCTGCAGATGAAGCTGCTGAATCTGTACATCAAACGAGCTCAAACCCTCAACAGCAACAGCAGCAGTTCTTCAGACATCTCGTCTCACAGCTGAATCACTCCTCCAGTCCGCCGTCTGCTATCATGTCCTCAAACGCTCTCCCATGATTTTGCACATTTGCGAGTAGATCTTTAGCTGCACGTGCGCATGTGCTTCGTGTGAGTGCGTGTGAGTGAGTGTGTGAGTGTGTGTGTTTGAGAGTGAGTGTGTGTGAGTGAGTGAGTGAGTGTGTGTTGTGTGTTGTGTGTGAGTGTGTTGTGTGTGAGTGCGTGTGAGTGAGTGTGTGAGTGTGTGTGTTTGAGAGTGAGTGTGTGTGAGTGAGTGAGTGAGTGTGTGTGAGTGTGTGTGTGTGTGTGTGTGTGT